TACAACGCTTACCCCGCAGGTTCGCAGTACGCCGAGTACCCTCAGATGGACGCCAAACAGGAGGATCGCCAGAGACGTAAATACAGATACATTATCCACGCAGAGCAGAACGCCCTCACCTTCAGGTCAGAACTTGTCAGAAACGGCGGGAGGGGAAACATGAATGCAGAAAATCAGTGTTCATCATCGCTTGATAGGTGTTCCTCCTTTCAGGACGCGAGACATCAAACCGGATGAGCCAACCATGCTTTTTGTAACCAAGTGTCCATGTGATGAGTGTGTCCCTCTGATCAGAGGAGCCGGTATCACACACATATACACCTCTGACCAGGACCGGGACAAAGATAAGGGAGATATTTCCTACCTGCGATTCGGCACCCTAAAGAACATCAGCAAATTCATAGTGAGTCCACAACGTTTTTCTTGTTTTGTTTTTGTTCCCTTTTATTTCATACTGTTTATGTTTGATGTTTGATGTTTGAAGTATATCAAACCTCCATCAATGTAGACAGTAAAGTCCAGGCTGCAGAAACGGGTCATTACTTCAGCAAACATAGCAAACGTAGACTCGGAGAATATGTTGAAAAGGGAGATGTATGTTAATTTATTCTGGTGCATAAGGGGATCTCTGACTCAGCAACTTTGGGATGTCTTGCTTCTTGAAGATAAGGCTAACATGCCCTTAAAGAATCTGACATTTATCTGTCCTCACAGTGGCAAAGAAGCCCTTCAGTGTCCTCAGCGCCACCTTTTCATCTTGCCAGTAAGTGGCACCCTATGCCTTTTTTTTTTAACCATCTCCACAGATAAATTACAGAAAGGAGTTATGAATCAGCCAATTTTCCTTTGCTGTTTCGCGTTTTAACCACAGTGCCATTTATTGCAGACGGTTGTGTCGGAAAGCACAGCAGACAGACTGAGAGCGAGAGCCCCAGCAACAAGAAGCTGTGCACCAGCATGTCCTGCGAATCACCTGCTGCGAGCCGTCGATAAATCCACGTACCTAAAAAACACCCCCACAGAGGCAGGTTTTAAGCTTGCGTGCCACAGATTTGATCGTTCACAGCTGTAATAAATAGAGCTAAGTGTTGTTTCCTTCATGAGCATCGAATCTGTGGCACATATGATTTTACACATTTGTATCTTTTCCAAGTCCGGTCATTACATGAGTGGAGAGTTGGAAACAAACTGAAATCAATGCAATGACCTCAAAGGGACACCACTAAGAGCGGATTAATAGATCCATCGAAGATGAAAAAATAGGTACAGAAACTACGGACAATTTTTTTTTTTAAGCGTTTATAAGGTACCACAAAGAAATAATTTATTTAAAATAGTTATTTAAACTGCGATATGCAGATCTGTTTGTTTTTGAAACAAATGGAGGGGGGAAAGCTAATTATAAAAATCTAAATAATGAAAAAGTGTGAGATTAACGACATGTAGCTCCTGGTTGTCCAGGATTGTCCTCACGGCACAGAACGGTATGAAATAAATTACTGATGCTTTTATTTTGAAGGCAGCTGCTGTGAGAGTGTTTGAAAGATGTGTTTCACACTGTGAGGATGTTATTGTTTTTAAACGCAAGCCAAATGCACTAAAGTGAAGCGTGTTGAGGATATGGATAATGCTTGAATGAAAGTTTAAAAAGTGATCCTGCAGAGCAGAGAGGACGGTCAAAGGTTTGGTTTTGGAGAGTGAAGGAATTTACTCGACTTTACCAACTTTAATTTTCTACATGAACACACTGTTTGTATTCTTTTTTTTTTCTTCTCCATTCAGGTATAGTAAACAGAGGTTTAAGTGTTTTTGTAACTTGAGTCCGAATCACAGAAAAGGCAGTAACTGTGGAGTCATTCAGCATAATCTGAAAAATACCTGGAAAATAACACACACTTTCTTACACACACACACAAAGCATGCATTCTCATCTATTTTTTCTTTTTTTTTTTATTTGTTGTGAATGTTGTACAACAGCATCGAAGTGGGGGAAAAAAACAAGGTGGCTCCTTTTAGAGGCCATCGTGAAGAATGGTTAAATCTGCTCATAGTTGTAAAACAACTGGTTCAAGTCTGATGTTAAGCTGGTTGGCTTACATTTGCATCTCGTGTGATATCACAATATACTGTCACAATCTATGGCATGTGAACATGGCTGGTATTGGTTTTTGTCATCCCAAAAAAACAAACTGGTTTTTTTTTTGTTTGTTTTGTTTAAGGGGGAAAAAAAAGCAAAACAGCTTTTAACGTGTTTACTTCTTCCTTTAAGGAAAGTCTGGGTTCATCATGACTCCATTTCACTTTGTTTTTAAAATTTCTGTGAATGCTTGTCAGACATCTACTGGGAAATAAAATCACATTGTTCTCAAGTTTAGTCTCTGCATTTTTTTGTTCCAAGTTCATAGTTGATTTAAAGTTACAGAAAGAAATCGAAGCTGCTTTAAACTAAAAGTGGATTTTTATTCATTTATTTGATTTCACAGTTATGTTTCACCGGTGAATCCTGCCGTTGGTCGGCTTTGGCCTCGTTCTGTTTGCCGGCGACTTTACTATGGCAATGGCAAGTGATGAGCAAAAAAAAAAAAAAAATAGTTTAAAAGGTGTCAAACGGCAAAAGGAACTCTGATATAGTGAGTTAAGAGGTTCACTGCTTAATCACAACAAATATGTTCTATCAGAGCATATTTTCATCAACATAATAATTAAGCTCCCCCTAAAAAGATACTGCAAATACAGGAAAGAAAACGAGTACAGAGAAAGGAAAACACACCAAAACAAACAAAAAAAAGGCACCTCTGAATCTTCTCGTCCTCTGATAACAACGTCAGATCCAAACCAGAGTCAAACATCCGTTACAGTACAGACAGAAAAGGGAGTGAAACAAAAAAAAAACAGCTATCTTTACAGCTCTACAGCATCCACACAGCAAAGTGCCTCCTCCTCATGTTCTCCCTCACAATGGCACTCAAACCAGAAACTGTACATGAGAAATGACACTATATATTAAAAAAAAAAACCATCAAGCAGTGTGAAAACAGCGATCAGCTTCAAACAAATTGAATCACCATTATTATTATTATTATTTAAAATCATACAAAGTGCTATTAGCCACCAGCAAAGAGAACCAGTGATCAAAATCGTCATTTTCTTTTTTCTTGTTTTTAAGATTTTTGTTTTTAGTCAACAGTGACTGAAATCAGTTTGTTTTCAAGACCTGTGAGTAATTTAGAACAGCACGGGTGGGCTCGGCCTTTAGACCGGCAACGAGACTTGTTCCATGTTGGTGTGACACACTGAAGCAACGTTGGCCTTTTGGACTGTACGCAATCCAATCCCCTCAGCTTTAAAGTGAAGAAACAATCACTGACTTTTAGCTCGCACAAATGAAAATATGATGGAAAATCTGATCGGGGCCATAATAGATGTAAACACAGGGGAGAAAAATAAAGATCATAGAAATTTAGAATTCACTAATCTCAAATGTGACCTAATATTTTTCCTCGTAAATTCACGTCTCAATAAAATCACATGTTTAATGTTCTTAATTATATCAGATTACTTTAGTTTTTCCCCTTAAATTTCAGAATTACTTGTAAATTAGTAACTTCATGAGTTTTTCCCACCCAGTCTGCTACTATAATTTTTGAAATACAAAGTTGTTGTTGTTTTTTTCGCTCTTACCGCCTCCTCCCTTAACTATTATCTTTAATTTTTTAAGCTAGAATACCCCAATACACTGTTGTGGGCTACTGAGCTTTACCATTGTCATTTGGCTTTTACCGATGACCAAGAATGCATTGATTAAGATATTCACGCTGTAAATACGCTTCACCTGGTCCTAACCAGACACACCAACATCCTCACCACACATCTCCCAAGAAAACAAAAAGTTGTTCATTTTTCTGGTTTGCAGCCACTACTTTTAAAAATTTACAAAATTCATTTGCAAGCAGAGACTAATAAGATTAAAGAAAATGCTCATCCACCCGGAGGATTTTGGCTGAAGCTTTTTTTTAAACCCCTGGTTCTCCCCCAACAAGGCAAATCAGCTGCCTCCAACACCATGAGTTGTGGCACTACATGCTACAGATGAGGAAAAAAAAATTACAAAAAAAGATCAGTGATTAAGAACTACTCTTGCACAAGTTTTTAATGAACTGACAAAGAGGGGAAAAAAAAGACAAATGAGGTCTCAAAGATTTTTTTTTTTTCCCAAATAGAGTAACCATTATTGTTAATGTGTTTTTTTTCTATGTCTTCCTATTAATAAAAAGTTGAAGTAGAGGGCAGGCAGGAATGCTTCTCTAGGAAGCCGGTTTCTTCAGATCCCTGATCTGTTTGATTAGGTAGGTCTTCTCGTCGTTGAACTGCTCGTCGTCCGTGCGGTCCTTCTGGAAGTTGCTCAAGAAGTCGATGAGTTTGGTCTGGTTCTTGAGCAGGATGTCGATGATGGGCTGAGTCTTGTTGGGGTTTGCTACAAACACCTTGGGGAAACAAAAAAAGGACAAGACAGGAGGAAAATTCACTTAGAGTTACATCATTTTAATTTAGTTCTGTTTTATTTATACAGCGCAGATTGACAACACCAGTCATCTCAATGTAGGGCTGTGCGATATGACCAAAATCTCATATCCCGATATAAGACATCTATCGTCCTGATAAAGATATAAATCACAAAATGTAACATTTTCTGTAAATTCTGTGAATCTCGGGCAGCTCGACTTGCGTAAAGTGTTTCCAGCTGGGCGTCGTGTAGCTGGAGTCGAGTGTTTTAACCAAAGCATGAAGTTATAAATTTTTAGACATAAGTTGTAACGCCCGCCGTTTTCTTTGTGAGTATTTATTACACGGCGTGCTGCGGGGAAAAGCCTGTTCTAACGTTTGAGTCTAAGGTTTATTTTTTACCTGGCGGCTCTTTTTTAATTCTCATCCGTAAGTACTCTGCATACTTTTTTACGTGATTAAGTTTATTTTGAAAAATCTCAACAGGATCTTGAGCTTTATTTTGAAAGGTTTATGTGGAAGATAAACAAGCGGACAACGATGGTTTTACCGTCATTGTTGCTAACGACAATGCATAAAAACAGTCGCTTGTCTGTCTGTAGTGTGGTTATATTAAATATAAGAGAAAGAGAGAACTTTAAGAAATGAATATAGCCACTACAGTGACCATCAAAACAT